GGCTCAGCCCCTCAAGCTCCGAGCCCCGCACAGTCCAGCTCAGCCCCGCCCTTTCCTGGCCCAATCTTTCCGCCCCGATAGGCCTTAGGTGCGCTTAGACCCCACACGTCTCTTTGGGTCAGGCCACTCCCTTCATAGAACTCCTCGCCCCACTGTGCTCATCCCTATCCTCCTCTCCTAGGGGCTGCCGTCCTCGGTGCTCCTTCTCTCCTAGTCCGCTGGGGCCCAGAGATGTCGCTGTTGCGCCAGGACCAGGTTTCCTCTAGAGGAGAGCTCGGGCAAAACCTGTGAACTCCATGACTTTGAAATATGCATTTAAGAGCAGCGATGAGAAGACAGGAGACGAGGAGAGGATAACCCAGCCTTGCCCCCACTCTAGCCATACCCATCCATGCCCGCAGGACCTGTTTTCTGCTGTCACCATCCCCACCTCCGCCTGCAGACCACCCTACGGCCAAGCAGCTCTGGACCAGCACCTGCAGGTTCCAGTATATGAAGAGCACACCTAGGGGTTGGCGTGTGGGAGGAAGTTGAGGGAGGTGAGTCGGTTTCCATGGATACAATGGAGGGGCTTGCCTGTCAAGACAGGGAACTTTGGACATCAAAGCAGTTTGAGAATGTTGGATGGAATTTCAGCTCCAAAGAGGACCTTGTACATCATGGGTAGCTCACAGACATGGAAAGGGTCTTGAAGATCTAGGGTGGTGTCCAGTGCCCCAATGTGGGGATTGCAAGGTCCGAAGCTGGTGTCCTCGTCCCAGGGAATCATTTGTGGATTTGGGAACCATGTCCAAGATTAGAGGGTTGGATCTGATAGACCAGGGGCAGCACCCAGAAACCACTAAGGGAATTAAGAGACTCAATGTAGGAGTGTCATCCAAGGACCCAGAAGCCATTCGGGTCTCAAGGTCTCTGTCCAGGCCTGAAGAAGACACCACTTGTAGGTCAGATACAGGAAGCGATAAAAACCAAATTCAAAAGGCTACATATTCTGATTCTGTTTATATGAGTTTCTGAAATATGTATTACAAAGCTAGGAACCAAAAAACAGATCAGTTGGGACCAGGGAGAGGGCCATGAGGTGAGGGAAGGAACACAAAGGGGTATGAGAAAATTTCTTAAGGTGATGGTTTTACGGGTGTTAACATATGTCAAAACATACAATTTCGTATTTTAAATACAGGCAGTTAATTGTCAATTATATCTCAAGTCAAGAAGGGAAGAAAATGCAGGGAGGAAAGAAAGAACATTAGAAAATCATGAGCAATGTGAAAAACATACACACAGTGACTGAGCAATGTCATTTTTGGAAATCTTTCACAATGAAAGATAGTGTTAGTAATAGGAGGCTGGGTGCAGGGGCTCTCGTCTGTAATCCCAGCACTTCCGGAGGCCAAGGCCAGCGGATCACAAGGTCAGGAGTTCAACCAGCCTGGCCAATATGGTGAAACTCCATCTCTACTAAAAAAAAAACAAATTAGCTGGGCGTGGTGGTGGGCGCCTGTAGTCCCAGCTACTAGGGAGGCTGAGGCAGGAGAATCACTGGAACCCAGAGGTGGAGATTACAGTAAACTGAAATCGTGCTACTGCACTCCAGGCTGGGTGACAGAGTAAGACTCTGTCTCAAAAAAAAAAAAAAAAAAAAAAGAATATGGGTGCAAAGCCAGTTGCAGTGGCTTATGCCTCTAATACAAGCACTTTGGGAAGCTGAGGAGGGAGGATTGCTTGAGCCCACCAGAAGTTGAAGACCAGCCTGGGCAACATAAGGAGACCCTGACTCTATAAAAACTTTAATAATTTAGCCAAAGCTGGGCACCGTGGCTCACGCCTGTAATCCCAGCACTGTGAGATGCCAAGGTGGGTGGGTCACGAGGTAAAGAGATGAAGACCATCCTGGCCAACATGATGAAACCCCGTCTCTACTAAAAATACAAAAATTAGCTGGGTGTGGTAGTGTGCACCTGTAGCCCAGCCACTTGGGAGGCTGAGGCAGGAGAATCGCTTGAACCAGGAAGCAGAGGTTGCAGTGAGCCAAGATGGTGCCACTGCACTCCAGCCTGGCGACAGAGCAAGACTCTAAAAAAAAAAAAAAATTAGCCACAGGTAGTGTGCATGCCCCCAAGCCAGGCTAATTTTTGTATTTTTAGTAGAGACAGGGTTTTGCTTTGTTATCCAGGCTGGTCTCCAACTCCTGGTCTCAAGTGATCTGCCTGCATCAGCCTCCCAAAGTGCTGGGACTACATGAGTGAGCCACTGCACCCAGCCCGTGGTAATATTTATTACTACAATTTATTACCCCTGTTTGACAACACGTATGTTCTTGGTAGTCCTTGGAAATAAATCACCTGCAACATGATGTACTTTTGGTATTATGCATATGAAAAACTACTGTCATCATAAAAGTTGTAATCAAGCATGAAAACGAAAATTTGTATGAGGAAAAAAAGGCCTGAAGTTGCAAGCTCACAGTAATATGGACTCACAATGTTGGACAAATAGCTAATTCATAAAGTTTATCTGATCCATGATTGTAATGGGATATTTTAATATATATTATCAGTAAATACAAAACTCGCTGGATAGTATGCAAGTTGTTCGCACACTGTTAATATTTTTAAGAAACATGTAGAGAACTTTTGTTTGAGGAAGACAGGTATATTGTTTGTAATCATATATACTCAAACATAATTCAAAATAAACTGAGGGACTGCATTCAGCTATGAGTAACAGGAAACACCCACAATCTTCTGTAATGAATAAGATGCTTATTCTCACATGAAAGGGCAGGGTGAGAACCATCTCTGCATAATGCAGCAGAGGAACAAGCTCCAAGCTCCACATAGGGTTTTTGTTTTTGTTTTTGGATAGTGCCACTGTAGCTCTCAACCTACATCAGTAACAGCCACCATCCCTATAGACAAAAATGTTTATGTACAAACTGGACCTTACAGGAACCAAGTCAGATCATCAGACTATTCCCAATGATGACAATATAAACTGATTACTTGGTGGATACATTAGCGCTTTCAGGAATATAAAAATAGCAGCTGAATCTTTGATATGAAGCTTGTAAGAACATCTATGGAAATCTATAACTTTGAGAACATGGAGGTGAAGTAGCTGGTGGTGGTTTAGAGGATACTGTTTTTTTTTTTTTTTTTGCGGTGGGGGACAGGGTCTTGGTCTGCACTCTGTCACCAGGCTGGTGTGCAGTGGCGCAATCTCAGCTCACTGCAACCTTCACCTACCTGGCTCAAGCGATTTTCCTGCCTCAGCTAGGACTATAGGCATGTGCCACCATGCCCAGCTAATTTTTATATTTTTAATAGAGACAGGGTTTCATCATATTGGTCAGGCTGGTCTCGGACTCCTGACCTCAGGTGATCAGCCTGCCTCAGCCTCTCAAAGTGTTGGAATTACAGGCGTGAGCCACCGCACATGGCTAAGGATACTCCTGATTGGCAGGGCAGATAATCAGAAAGATTAATACGGGCTGTTTGGACAGGTCTAGATGAGCATGTCCAAACAGCCTGTATTAATCTTTCTCCCCATATGATGCCTCCAAAATCTGACTAATGCCTTCACTTCTGCATTCTAACCTTCCAGAAATAAAGGCCATTGATGTAGTCTACATGTAACCATAAAAGAAAGAAATTTTGGGCCAGGTACAGTGTCTTATGCCTATAATCCCAGTGCTGTGAGAGGCTGAGGCTAGAGCATCACTTGAGGCCAGGAGTTTGAGACCAGTCTGGGCAACATAGCAAGATACCATCCTATAAAAAAAATAAAAATAAAAAAACAAAAACATTAGCTGGGCTTGGTGGCACATACCTATAGTTCCAGTCACTTGGGAGGCAGAGGTCAGAAGACCACCTGAGCTCGGGAGTCTGAGGTTACAGTGAGCTACAATCATGCCACTGCACTCCAGCATAGGTGACAGAGTGAGACCCTATTTCAGAAAGAAAGAAAGAAAAAAAGCAAAGTGAGAAAGAAAAGAAGAAATAAATGAAGTCTGAAAGGTTTAGTTCCCATTACCCAGACTGACATGACACAATCCATGAAAGGCATCTCCCATTCTAGATTTTATTATCCCATCATAGCTCTCTCCTTATCCCAAATCAATTACACAAAGAGCAGCCAGAATAAATAACAAAGAGTAAAGAGCAACAGGTTAAAATAATAAGGAACATGAGACTACAGTCTGTAATACACTTTACACTTAGAATTAATACCAACTCTTTTTTTTTTTTTTTTTTTTTGAGACGGAGTTTCGCTCTTGTTACCCAGGCTGGAGTGCAATGGCGTGATCTCGGCTCACCGCAACCTCCACCTCCTGGGCTCAGGCAATTCTCCTGCCTCAGCCTCCTGAGTAGCTGGGATTACAGGCATACACCACCATGCCCAGCTAATTTTTTGTATTTTTAGTAGAGACGGGGTTTCACCTTGTTGACCAGGATGGTCTCGATCTCTTGACCTCGTGATCCACCTGCCTCGGCCTCCTAAAGTGCTGGGATTACAGGCTTGAGCCACCGTGCCTGGCCAATACCAACTCTTTAATAACAAGGAAAATTAAATACTTTGAGCCAAAAAGAAAAAAATGGGCCAGGTGTGGTGGCTCACACCTGTAATCTCAGCACTTTAGGAGGCTGAGGCGGGTAGATCACTTGAGGTCAGGAGTTTCAGATCAGCCTGGCCAACATGGTGAAACCCATCTCTACTAAAAATATAAAAAAATAGGTCAGGTGTGGCGGCACATGCCCGTAGTCTCAGCTACTTGGTAGGCTGAGGTGGGAGAGTCATTTGAACCCACAAGGCAGAGGTTGCAGTGAGCCGAGATCATGCCACTGTAGTCCAGCTTGGGTAACAGAGCATAGAGACCCTGTCTCAAAAAAAAAAAAAAGAAAAAAGAAAAAAGAAAAAAAAAAAGGAGTTGTTCTAATAAATATGATGGAATATATATAATGTGAGAAGGAAATGAGGAACCTGCTAAATGAAGCAAGTAGGTTCTTACCAACATTTATCAAGACTTATTTTTCAATGGTCCTCAATCACAGAACAATTAAGCAACCATATACAATTTAACATACCCAAATATGAGAAACACATTTAAATCTTCATTGGATTAAACACAGTTCAAAATGGAAAGACAAATATTTTATTTACTGACCTAAAACAATGCTACCTATGAAATTCATGCACTATTGCTTTAAAATTACTTACGGGATTTTATCAATTTAACATTTCTTTGTGAGATTAAGCATTTGAAACCATAGTCCAGGGAATTATTTTAAATATGAGCCACTAACAAAATATACATATAACGTCTACATTTCCATCAGGTTATATATTTTCTGGAGACTACATGACCTGCTATGCATGAGGCTTTTTGAAGTATTTACATTTATAGGATTTTGCTACATTAGAAGTTTTCAAATGACTTTTTTTTTTTTTTTTTTTTTTTGAGATGAGGTCTTGCTATGTTGTGCACACTGGTCTCAAATTCCTGACCTCAAGTAATCCTCCTGCCTCAGCCTCCCAAAGTGCTGGGATTACAGGTGTAAACCACCACACCCAGCCAGAGTTGAAGTCTATTCAAATTCAATACCTCAACCAGTGAGGCCCTGCTGGGAAATGACACCCAGCATTTCCTGTTTGCTAGACAAGTACTTTAACCCACAAAGCCACAGAGCCCTCAAATGACTTTACAAGTGTATTATAAAGGAAAACCTTCCTTGTGGTTTTCACATTTATAGTATTTCGATCCAGGGTACATTCTTACATGTTGCTGAAAACATGTGGGCTGACTAAAAACGTTTGAACACTGCTTATATTCAAGAGCTTTCTCTCTTCTATGTGTTCTTTACTGGCTTCAAATGGAAGTGAAATGACTAAAGGCTCTCTCACACTCTTTACATGTACCAGGGTTCTCTCCACTATGCATTCATATGTGTCACAGGATTGTGTGACAACAAAACCTTTCCCACACTCTTTACACAGGATTTCTCTCAAATATGGGTTCCTTTCAAAAAAGGATTTGTTCGGTTTTTCTCCATGATGAGTTCTTTCATGTATTTGAAAGGAACTAAAATGACTGAAGGCTTTCCCATGTTACTTACATTTATATGGCTTCTCTCCAGAATTATTTCTTTCATGTATTAAAAAAGGCACCAACAGCATTTCATGCTTTGCCACATCATTTACATTCACAGGGCTTCTCTTCAGTGTGAGTACTTTAATGTATCCGACATGAGTCTAGAACATTAAAGGCTTTCCCACATGGATTTATAAGGTGGTCCATCTTCAGCATGTGTTAACATGTGTCTCTGAAAGCTTGCACGGCAAGAATAGGCTTTCCCACATTCCTTACAATGATAGGGTTTCTGTCCAGTGTGAGTCCTTTCATGTAGTCGAAAGGAACTAGAAGATCTAAAGGCTTTACCACATCGCTTACATTCATAGGGTTTCTCACCAGTGTGAATCATTTCATGTGTTCGAAAGGAGTTGAGATAACTGAAGGCTTTCCCACATTGCTTACACTCATAGGGTTTCTCTCCAGTATGAGTTCTTTCATGTATTCGAATTGATGTGGAAGAAACGAAAGCTTTACCACAATGTTTACATATATAAGGTTTCTCTCCAGTGTGAGTTCTTTCATGTATTCGAAATGGACTCAGAGAATGAAAGGGTTTCCCACATACCTTACATTTGTAAGCTCCTTCCCCAGTATGCTTTATCATGTGTCTTCGCATACTTGGGATACAACTGAAGGCTTCCCCACATTCCTTACATTCGTAAGGTTTTTCCCCAGTGTGAGTCCTTTCATGTATTTGAAAGGTACTGGCAGATCTAAAGGCTTTACCACATTGTTTACATACGAAGGGTTTCTCACCAGTGTGAATTCTTTCATGTAGTCGAAGGGAGGGGAGATAGCTGAAGGCCTTCCCACACTGCTTACATTCATAAGGTTTCTCTCCAGTATGGGTTCTTTCATGAATTCGTAAGGTTGGGGAGCAACTGAAGGCTTTACCACATTGCTTACATTTAAAGGGTTTCTCTCCAGTGTGAATTCTTTCATGTACTTGAAATGAACTCAGAGAATGAAAGGGTTTCCCACATACCTTACATTTATAAGGTCCATCTCCAGTGTGCTTTATCATATGTCTTCGAACACTTGTGATACAAGTGAAGGCTTTTCCACATTCCTTACATTCATAGGGTTTCTCTCCAGTGTGACTTCTTTCATGTGTTCGAAATCTACTGGGATAATCAAAAGCTTTCCCACACACCTTACATTTATATGGTGTATAGCCACTGTGTGTGATTATGTGTCTTCTAATTCTTTTGAGAGAAAAGAAGGTTTTTCCACATTCCTTACAATCATAGAGTTTCTCTCCAGTGTGAATTATCTCATGTGTTCGAAAGGAGTGGTGAGAATTGAAGGGTTTCCAACGCTGATTACGTGTATCTGACTTCTCTCCATATTCCTGATATTCCTTTGGTTCACGTCCACTATGATCTCTGATGTGTCTATTAAGGGATGAGTGATCCATGCTGACTTCTCCATATACAATGCTTTCACATAGTTTCACTCCAGGAATTTTCTTGCTCAGATTATGATTTGCAAACTGGCTAAAAATTCCTCCATCTTTACTTTGATAGAGCCTTTCTACCATATGACGTCTGTGAAAAATGAGAAGGAAATGACTAGGGATTTTTGTTATCTGTTTTATATTAATAGCTATTAAACTTGCATTTTTCACATTCGCAGGGAAAGTGTAGACTCGATGCCAAGTTTGATTTATTTGAGTATGAATGGATTCAATGCTCTGGGCTAGAGTGCAATGGCACAATCTCAGCTCTCTACAACCTCCGCCTCCCAGGTTCAAGCAATTCTCCTGCTGCAGCCTCCTGAGTAGCCGGGATTATTGGCACCCACCACCATGAGCGGCTAATTTTTTGTATTTTTAGTAGAGACAGGGTTTCACTATGTTGGCCAGGCTTGTCTTGAACTCCTGATCTCATGATCTGCCTGCCTCGGCCTCCCAAAGTGCTGAGATTACAGACTTGAGCCACTGCACCCAGCCATGCTTTTACAAAAACTAAACATCTGTTTACTCTCAAGAATATGTATTTGGGGAAAATATTCTAAAAATAAATAAATTTGAAGCTTGGCTTATCAGTTGTGTTTACCTGGTTTTAAAATTTCATAACATGCTAAGATACTTTCAAGTGAATTTGTTGTCTCTAAGGACAAATTACCTTAGGTTTCTCCCTTGGTGTTTGTAGTGATCTTTAATGTTCTGGTCCTTCCATTTCTTCCCTAAAACAGAGACCCAGAAAAATTCTGAATTAGTACAAAATTATAGAAAAATTATTATTCTAGGTTCATGTTGCCCTGCCCTGTGACTATGCATATTTTAGCCCCCTAAGTATTCTCCCTCCATGATGCAAACCATGTAACAGCGTCAATGCACAAGGAAACACTTCTTCTCTAATTCGACTAAATGATGGAAGTATATAATCCTTACCTATAGAGGCCAGATTCCTCATGGTTTCCCACATAACATCTCTGTAGAGATTCTTCTGGGAAGGATCCAGCAAAGCCCACTCCTCCTGGGTGAAGTTCACATCTATATCCTCAAACGCCACCAAGTCCTGAAAATCCCACATATGTGGAGAGAATGGGTGAGACTGACAGGGCTGGGGATCTATACTTAATTCCTAAGAAGCTCACATGCTTCAGGAGTCTCCAAACATTAACTCCACTGTTAAGTCAACATACTCACTTCCTTCCAACACAGCAATTCTTACACTAGTACTGAAATAATGTGTAGAGCAATAGCATAGTCTCATCATCTTTCTTGGTGATGGTTCCAAGGAGTAATATGTGCTGCTTGAGTCACATCTAATGTCTGCCCGTACAGTGGACCTGGAGAACCTGTCATAACAAAGTCCTACCACCTAGTGTGCAGAAGAGTTTATATTAGCATTCCTGAGAACGCTAACCCTTAAAAAAAGGCTCCTCACTCCTCACAGTGTTCATCTGAGGTAGGAGACCAGCAGGACTTATTTTCTGATTACAACCCTACTGGCTAAAACAGGATCTGGCAGAAGGGTAAAGTGAATAAAGTGGCCAAAACCAGATGTCAAGGACTGCGATCTCTAGCGGCTCTCACTGCTCATTAGCATAAAACACTCCCACCAATGCCAAAACCATTTACAAATACCATAGCAATGACCTGAAAGTTATCACCTCTTCCCTGGAAAGTTTTAAATAACACGCTCCTTAATTCACATATAATTGAAAGTGGGTACAAATACAGTTACCAAGAGCCCATATGTTGCTGACTCTGGGTGTACTGCCTATGAAGTCAGCACTGATCCACAAAGACCAGCACTGTTAAATAAAAGACTGCTGTCTGGCCGGGCGCGGTGGCTCACGAGGTCAAGAGATCGAGACCATCCTGGTCAACATGGTGAAACCCCGCCTCTACTAAAAATACAAAAATTGGCCGGGCGCGGTGGCTCAAGCCTGTAATCCCAGCACTTTGGGAGGCCGAGGCGGGTGGATCACGAGGTCGAGAGATCGAGACCATCCTGGTCAACATGGTAAACCCCGTCTCTACTAAAAATACAAAAAAAATTAGCTGGGCATGGTGGCTCATGCCTGTAATCCCAGCTACTCAGGAGGCTGAGGCAGGAGAATTGCCTGAACCCAGGAGGCGGAGGATGTGGTGAGCCAAGATTGCGCCATTGCACTCCAGCCTGGGTAACAAGAGCGAAACTCTGTCTCAAAAAAAAAAAAAAAAAAAAAAAACACAAAAATTAGCTGGGCATGGTGGCACACACCTGTAGTCCCAGCTACTCGGGAGGCTGAGGCAGGAGAATTGCTTGAACCCATGAGACAGAGGTTGCGGTGAGCCGAGATCGCGCCATTGCACTCCAGCCTGGGTAACAAGAGCGAAACTCAGTCTCAAAAAAAAAAAAAAAAAAAAAAAAAAGGGCCGGGCGCGGTGGCTCAAGCCTGTAATCCCAGCACTTTGGGAAGGCCGAGGCGGGTGGATCACAAGGTCAAGAGATCGAGACCATCTTGGTCAACATGGTGAAACCCCGTCTCTACTAAAAATACAAAAAAAATAGCTGGGCATGATGGTGCGTGCCTGTAATCCCAGCTACTCAGGAGGCTGAGGCAGGAGAATTGCCTGAACCCAGGAGGCGGAGGTTGCGGTGAGCCGAGATCGCGCCATTGCACTCCAGCCTGGGTAACAAGAGCGAAACACCGTCTCAAAAAAAAAAAAAAAAAAAAAAAAGACTGCTGTCTAACACTACCAGCCTGCCCCTGAATTTTTCCCTGGGCAAAGCCAGAAACCATCTGGGATATACCCCAATTTTAGGGCACACCTGTCCTGTATCACAGCCATTGCTACTATCTGGGAAAAGGATTTGGGGAAGGAGCCCAATCACCTATATAAGAGTAGCTTGGTGCCTAAACTGTTTATGGAAAAAAGATGAAAATTTCTGGTCTGTCTTCCATCTGAGAGTTTGGGATTTTGTTACAGGTGCAACACATGGTGCCTACCTGATGAGCCACCAAAAACACTCTAGGAAGTATTTTACATGTGTTCTCACAACTGTTTACTTGGAAAATTAAGCCCATCTTCTGTTATTACACTAAGAGAAAGTACTCTCAAGCTCGTATCTATCCTGCAGATTAAATATAATGAAGTACTAAACGAGACTAATGAAGGATTTTTTACCATCTTAATGGCGATTTTTTTTTTAAGACAGTTTCGCTCTTGTTGCCCAGGCTAAAGTGCAATGGCACAATCTTGGCTCACTACAACCTCCGCCTCCCAGGTTCAAGCAATTCTCCTGCCTTAGCCTCCTGAGAAGCTGGGATTATAGGCATGCACCACCATGCCTGCCTGATTTTGTATTTTTAGTAGAGACAGTGTTTCTCCATGTTGGTCAGGTGGGTCTCGAACTCCTGTCCTCAGGTGACCCCCAAGCCTCAGCCTCCCAAACTGCTGGGATTACAGGTGTGAGCCACCATGCTTGGCCTTTTTTTTTTTTTATATGGAGTCTTGCTCTGTCACCCAGGCTGGAGTGCAGTGGCACATTTCAAGCAATTCTCCTGCCTCAACCTCTTAAAGAGCTGGAAGTACAGGCATACGCCACCACGCCTGGCTCATTTCTGTATTTTTAGTAGAGATGGGGTTTCACCATGTTGGCCAGTCTGATCTCGAACTCCTTATCTCAAGTAATCTGCCTGCCTTGACCTCCCAAACTGCTGGGATTACAGGCATGAGCCACCCCACCCAGCCTGGTGAATCTTCACTAAATTGGTGAATAAATTAGTGAATTCACCAATTTATCTACCGTACTTTCTCTTCAAAATGTATTCAGTGGCCGGGTGACCTAGATCACACCTGTAATTTCATCACATTGGGAGGCTGACACAGAAAGATTGTTTGAGCCCAGAAGTTCGAGACCAGTTTTGGCAACACAGTGAGAACCTCCGTCTCTACAAAAAGTTTTAAAAATTAGCCAGCAGTGGTGGCACATGCCTGTAGTCCCAGCTACTCAGGAGGCTGAGGTAGGACTGCTTGAGCCCAGGAGTATGAGAATGCAGCAAGGTAGAACGGTGCCATTGCATTCCAACTTGGGCAAAAGAGGGAGACCCTGTCTCAAAATAAATATATACATACATATATACATATTCAGTTATCTTAAGCCATAATGAAGAGTGATCCTCCCTATTTCTCTGAGATTCTTTCTCTGTAGCCTTCTCAAGCCTAGATTCTAGGATTGTTTGAAATTTAAAAAAAAGGCTGGATGCAGTAGCTCACACCTATAATTCCAGCACTTTGGGAGGCCAAGGTGGGAGGATCGCTTGAGCTCAGGAGTTTGAGACCAGCCTGGGAAACATGGTCAAACGCTATCTCTACAAAAAATTAGCCAGTCATGGTGGCCTGCACCTATGGTCCCAGCTACTCAGGAGGCTGAGATGGAAGGACCGCTTGATTCAGGGAGGTAGAGATTGCAGTGAGCCATGATTATGCCACTGAAGTCCAGCCTGGGTGACAGAGCCAGACTGTATCTCAACCACAACAAATAAAATCACAAAAAAGAACAGACTTGAGAAATTTACTGCATATATGCTCTCGGGGGAACAGTAAATACAATTTTTTTTTTTTTTGAGACGGAGTCTCACTCTGTCACCAGCTGGAGTGCAGTAGTGCAATCTCAGCTCACTACAACCTCTGCCTCCTGGATTCAAGCAATTCTTGTGCCTCAGCCTCCCGAGTAGCTGGAATTATAGGCATGCACCACCACACCCAGCTAATTTTTGTATTTTTGTAGAGATGGGTTTCACCTTGTTGGCCAGGATGGTCTCCATCTCCTGACCTTGTGATCCATCTGCCTTGGCTTCCCAAAGTGCTGGGATTACAGGCGTGAGCCACCATGCCCAGATGTAAATACAAATTTTTAACAAATATTAGGGTAGAAATTTATTTTTCTGAGACCTACCTCTCATCTCTTTGGAAATATTTTAGCCTATCTTTCAAGCTCTAATGGTAAAATACATTTCACATGATGAAGTAAGTCAACAAATCTTCTTAAGGTAACAAAACCAGGGAAGGGCCCAGCTGACCTGGAACACAGACAAATCTGACTTAACTGCCCAGTCAGGTCATCCTATCACATGGGACATCTCCCCAATCCCCATCTTGTCACTGAAATGTTGCTCACTGACCCTTCCCAGAGACAGTGGATGGTGCTGCCACCCACTCCCAGGCCGAAGTGCATTTTGCCTGTCTAGTTCTTGTATCACCTGGGTTTCCTTGATTCTTAGGATCATTTTTCTCCCTTCAAGTACTCTGGGAGAATCCACAGGGCAAGAATCATTTTCTGTCTTTCCCTTCAATATCGCCATCCAATTAGATGACCACCAACATAACTCCAGAGAATGGAAACTGGGGCTTGGGAAAAACAAGCTGAGTGTCCCAAGGGGTGAGCTTTTCAGATGAAGGGTATACCATGTCACTACTTCCAGTCCCAAGGCATCCAGCAGCTCCCCTGAGGGGCTGCATGGGCTGATGCTCACTAGACCCTGCAAGAGACATGAAAGCTATGGGATTCTTGGGGAAGCCCCAGTCAGTTCTGAACCCCAGGACCAGGAAGAGAAAGGGTAAGCTGAGGAAAATCAACCCTGCAAAGTTTCCAAAGAGGAACCTGAACACAAAGGCATTCTGATAAGGTTTCACACTTAGGGAAGATAAAGGAGGAGAGACACAAAGGTTTTTCACAGTGGAGTTTAAGGTGGTTATTCACTGCTTACCTCTCAGGTGAAAAGGTCACAAACATAAAAAAAGAAATCTTTATAAAAGAGTCATCCACTGCTTTGTGCAAAAATGATAAAATATGACATCTGTCTCTAATGTAGAACAAAGGACAAATAGTTGGCTGGGTGTGGTGGCTCACACCTGTAATTCCAGCACTTTGGGAGGACAATGTAAGTGGATGACTTGAGGTGAAGAGTTCTAGATTAGCCTGGCCAACATGGTGAGACCCCGTCTCTACTAAAAATACAAAAAAAGTTAGCTGGGCGGCCGGGCACGGTGGCTCAAGCCTGTAATCCCAGCACTTTGGGA